AATTTGCACATTAACATGGAAGCATTGCTTGTGTACTACTGAAAGCAGAAACCTGCTTTTCAAGTCAAGCTATATTGAAATGCATGAAAACGGGCAATTAGTATCATTTTGAGTAATAAGCTGAAGCTTGCAGTATAGAGTTATTTTTATGAGACAGTAGAAAATGACACTAGAAATCATACCTGGATAGATGCAGTGTTATTTTGTACAGAAATAGGGTTTTGTACAGACATAGTGCTACATGGAGAGATGGGGTTTAACTCCTTGTCCACAGGGAACATGGAGGGTGAGGTTTTGAGGTAGATGGAAGGAAGGTAGAACTTTTCCTTTTCTTCAATGTGGTTTCCGCCCAAGAAAAATTGGCTGAAGAAGTTGTTCTGATTGACGGATGAATCTGCTCTTTCTTCAAAAGCTGCTATTGATTTCGTGCTGTACGTGCTGATCCGACAAAATGTTCCCCAAGTAAATGCAATCTGAGCTCTTCGAGAGAAGCTTCGTAGAGAAATCAAATCAAACAAAAATGGGAGCTTGGGCAGTTCATGCATTCCACAGTAATACTTTAGTCCTGGTGATATTTTTAATGGATCTGAAAAGGGAGGCTGAGCTGGGCAGTTAAACAAAGACCAACAAAAGATTTTTGAGCACAGCCAGAGGCATGGCAGATACCTGAATGCTGCTCTCCCACTTCACTCTACTTCTGCAGTCTCCTAGGTTTCTCTTACACAGCAAAGGTTATCTGGATTACTACTCACGCTGTGTTTTGTCAAGGACTAACCTGGAGATCTTACCTGTGGCATCTTTGCAAGCTGCCAAGGTTCCTCCAGGAGCAGGTGTAGCTCACCCAGTGCGTACAAAAGTTTGCCCTCTTTTTTCAGTAACTCTTATGGGTCTCTTTGCCCTACAAGATCACGGGAGTTGTCTGTGGGTTCTACCTGCCTCTCTTTACTGACCTGTGATCCCTCAGAAGTGGAATAGGGTGCCCCTTCCTCATCTGCTTCAGGGGATGTTTGAGTTGGAGGTCAGGAGAAGATTCTTCACCCAGAGTGTGGTTGGTCACTTGAACAGGCTCCCCAGGGAAGTAATCACAGCACCAGGCCTGCCAAGAGTTCAAGAAGCACCTGGATGATACCCTTAGTCAAATGCTTTAGTTTCAGGTAGTCCTCTGAGGAACAGGGAGTTGGACTTGATAATCCTGATGGGTCCCTTCCAGTTCAAGATATTCTGTGATTCTGTGACTCCTGAGCATTCTGAGGGATGGACACCAGGCTGCTCAGAGATGATTTCTGCAAACTACCTGTGCCCAGGCAGGACAGCAATGACACCACTGAATGAAGTGTGACCTCTGCAGGTGACATTCCTTTCACATCTACTGGCCTCAGGGCTGGTGTGGTCCAGGAGTGTCTGCACAAGCTTGTCACAAGCAGGTGGCTGCCAGGATCCTGCTGGGCTGAATGCTTCCTTTGGGGAATTGGAAATACCTCTGTCACTCCCCACAGGGGGAGTGGGTAGCTTCAACCAACCTTTTTGGGTCTGCATAGCCCCCATGCAGATTGTGGAGGGGCTGTGTCACAATTAGTGAATTTGAGACCTTGCCAAAGACAAGGGGTCTGCTGTGTGGGAGCACGAAGATAACAGTCTCTGCCCCACAGCTCAGGTGGTTGCCACCACTTCCTACAGCCTTGGTGTAGAGTAGAAGGGACTGCAATGAGACCAAAGAGCAGAAACAGCCCTCTGTTAGCCAGGACATACCACTGTTAACTTTATCCTGCTATTTTCTCTAAACTGTGTGCTTGGTTGAACTTTCAGGCTGCACTGCTCTTGCCAGTGGGACTTGGGGGTTGGCCTCCAGCCTTTGGGATAGGGCTCAAAATCTCTTGAAGGCTCCAGGACCAATATTGTTCTACCTAGGAGCTTGTTATAACCTCCTCCCTTTCAGAGCTAATCTTTCCCCTTCACAGTCGTTCCAACATTAATGAGTACTTTTGAGAGCTCAGCTTTTCTGCTAAATGTTAAGTTTTCCTCTTTTATTAGTCCATTAGGAGAGTTATTACAGCTCAAATGCTCTGTCTTATTTGGATGAAAACTGCTTGGATAAATAGCAATGAATTCCTCTACCTCAAATGGTGGTTTTTCTGGGTGCTGGTATATAATGTGCCTTTTTGTGTCCCATCTGCTGGACGAAGGGTGAGAAGACTGAGAGAACATGGTCCAAGGGGACTACTGGGTAGTGTTGGGAGATTATCAGGAGACTTGTGGAGAGGTGAAAGAAGGAACTGAAAACCTGGGGACAAGACCCAGAGAAAAGAAAAATGGCTCTATAGGGAAGTCTCCAAGCTGATCAGTTCAAAAAGGTTTTTTTAAATATTATTTCTAAAAGAGAAAGCCCTGGTAGCAGGGAGAGATTGTGTCCAGCAGGTACAAACATTTCCTTCATGGTAACATTAAAACCTTTGTATTGCTTTGAAAAACACAATTGACTTTCTTTTAGTAACATCACCTGAACAGCCTGATGTGTGTCTCTGCTCCATCACGTTTCCTCTGGTTTCCTCCCAGGAGGCGGGATTCACCTCCCTTCCTGTCAGTGTGGATTTGCATCTTTGCTAAGGGGGAAATCTGTGGTTCCTGCACTGATGAGTAATTCTTGAAATCCCCCAACATTAACTTCCATCTTTATTATTGTGGCTACAGAAGAGCTATTTTGTGTTTCAAGAATATTGGTGGGGGTGGTTTGGCCACTTCCTCTTTTTAAGTCATGCAAGAAGGCAGAAATTACTCTCATGGTTTTCAATCTACAGCACGGCAAAACACAATTTTGCTGGTGTCACACTCAAGGTCACTGGCCTCTAGCCCATTCCCAAAATATCCTTCCTTCCTGATGCACAGGGATGTTGGCTCATGCCCATTTGTTCCCCAGCACTGGCTTTTGACCCAAGCTGTGAGAAGCAGGGGCAGATGATGGGGCAGCAAGTGAAACCATCCTGGGAGATGCAGGACCTGCAGCCTGTGTGCCCTAATTCCCCTGGGGAAGGAGGCTCTGCTGTCCCACTCACTGCAGGTGCACCTTTCCTTTGGGATGTTCCATGCATTGCCAGGCTTCAGGTCTCTTCCCAGTGGATTGAGGTTTCCAGGTTTTCTCCTATTAAAGTTCATACTAGCTAAGGCAAATATGAGATTTGAAAATGGATGTTGGCAAATTGTTGCCACATCCTTTGTGAAGATTTTACTGCACATACTCCTCCTGCTTTACAACAATTAGTAGGTGAGCAACTGTGTCACCCAGGCATGTCACTCTGCATGTCACTGAAGCCAGGACTGTCCACCTGGAGATGCAGGCAGAACTTGCAAGGGCTCAACTACCAAAGCTCTTTGGTTTAGTGTGTTTCTCAAAAACAGCACATCAAGAAATCCTGTGGCCTTTAGTCCAGTGCTGTTATCTCTCAGGGGATTCTAGAGAGAAGATTCAGGCTCAAAGGGAGGAATTGCAGGCATTCTGGTTTCTTAAGGCTTCATTTCCAGGTCATCAGAACCCAAAATTTCTCAGAAGAGAGGCTCTGACAGAGCACTCCTGCTCACACTGGGAGGAGTCTGTGAGCTCTCTGGATGTTTTGGCTTCCCCTGCAGCAAGGGCAGAAGTTCCCCAGGTGTCACTGGGGTCTTGGCATGCCACAGATGGCTCCTGTGGGAGTAAAGGAGGTGAGGAATGCCTCCATCCACCCCTGTTGTGGTTTGTGTCCTTTTGTCTTTTGCACTGAAAATTACAAGTCTGCTGCAAATGATGGAAGTGCCTGGTGGGTAGGGAGCCAAGAGTGTGTGTGAGTGCATGTGTGAGCTCAGCCCATGCCCAGTTCGGTGGTTGTTGTAGGGTGATGTCCTGGTGGCACTGATGACAGTCAACTGGGAGAGCTGTCTGTGCCCAGCAACCACCTTCCTTAACTGTTCTATAAAACTGATTTTATTTTCTTTAATCTTGGCTATCTGCTCTGCCTTCAAGGAGAGGCAGGCATGAGCATTAGCAGAGGTTGCATGATAAAGAAAATCCAGCCACACTGACCTTAAACTAAATTTTACTTAGTTTATAGGAGTGCTATTTATTGTATTAAACTAACATTGTTATCAGAAGACATTTATGCAATGTCCTGAAACTATTAGGCTATGTGTAATATGCCAGATATAAACAAATGCCATTGTAAATGTCGAGTCATACGGGAAGATAAATAAATTAGTTTCCTGGGCTTATTAGAGCTGAAAGCTGGACGTTTATAGCAGGAGGGGGAGAATTGTACAATGCAGTTCCATATGGCTTATGAAATGTGTATGAAAACCATTTTCTCCTACCCATCCTAATTATGATACATAAATAGATACACTGTTTTCCTTCAAGTACTTACTTAGCTGGAATATTTTTTTTTAAAGATCAGCACAATACTTCTATTATGTATTTCTCTATGCCCTTAACAGATTTCTAAATCAAAATCCATTTTTTATAGCAATAAAATGACCTTTCACTAATTGGGAAAGAAAATGTTACCCAATAGGTGACAGTTCTCTTGAGTGCTTAGCACTGTCAGAAGTCATTTTGGCATTTGGCTTTAAACTGTAGCTAAGTGTTTAAATAATAATTTTTTAAATTATGTGTCTATATGACTTTTGTGTGAGTGTGCTTACATAAGAAGAGGGTGTTTTGTGCTGCCCATGGCCAGGCAGCAAACTAAAACCAAAGCAGTGTTCTTCACTCAGGCTACGATTTTACCCCAAAACCTGTTGGCAAAGGACTCCTTCTCCCAGTTTGTGGCACTGGCCACTGTTAGTGAGCTGCCTGCAGCACTCTGTCTGTCTCCCAGGGGCTGCAGCAATGCCTGGGGCTAACAGCAACTGTGAGGAGGGTAAAAGGGGGTGAGCAGGGCCAGCTGGGGACAAATCCTGGTGGGCTGCATCTCCTAAAGGCTCATATGAACAAGAGGAGACAACAGAGAGGTAGGAAGGCAATGCCAGAGCAAATGCAAATGTCAAATGCATATCTTTTTATTGTTCAACATTGAGACTGTGGTAGTGCTTAGAGGCTGGCATTTTGGATCTTGTTATACCAGATACCATAAACATGGTGTACATGGCAGTCCTTGTTCCGGAGAGCAAGGAAAGCCAGGCTATGAGACCCATACACAGTACAAACAGAAGGTGCCTCTACTTTACCAGCCTGTCTATAGTCCAGCAAGACTCTCCTTATTTGGAACCAGTGGGTGATATTCACCAGAGCAGGCTGGGAGTAGTGGAAGGACTGGCCCTTCGAAGAAGGACATAGGACTACATCTGGCAACACAGTAAACAACAGCCAGAGACAGAATAAATGAGTCAGTTTTCTAGCATATTTGAATACTGTTTAAATATAAACATTGTAAATTAATATCTCTAACTGAGAAAAAAATAGAGTTTGATGCAAAAATACACCAGTGGTATACTGCATATGCACATAAATACATGATATAGTTTGCACAGCCATCATGTGTCTTCCTTCCGGGGTGACTTTCCACAGACTGATACAAAAGTTGAAACAGAAAAAAAAAACAGAAGGGAAAGGTCTCCAATGAAACACAGTGTTGTTTTGGCAAGGGGTTAGCTTCCCAGAAAAACTGGGCTGTAAGAAACAAAACACAGTTTCACAAGAGACCCATTTGTGTTTTCACATCATATCTACCTCACAGCAAGAGGGGAAAGAGCGAGCAAGAGAATGGTGATACAAACAGGGTGCTCAGTACATTTTGATGGCATTTGAGACCAGTTCCACACCCCATTCAAAGACTGGGTTGTTAACAGGGTCTGGAAATGTCCTCTCCTTGATAAGGAAGGGCTTCAGTAATATCCAAAGTGTTTTACTAGATGCTACACAATCCATTGCAACAGGCAGCTTGCTCCCAAGCTCAGTTAGCAGGATGCCACTCTGTGCAGATGCACTGGATGGAGTCACTGCAGAGGGGTTGTCTGCCAGGGGGTCAAGTGCTCCCACCTCACGGAGGTGAAGGAAGCACATGCTCTCCAGGGCCGGTTCAGGAACCCTGATGCCCCTGGGCAGTGCTGCTGCTGAGTCAGAGCGTGCAGCTGTGGCCACTCTAAGTCCTGAGTCCAGGGTCCTGCAGTGTGGAGGGATGGCAAGAGCCCTCCATGGCTGAACTACAGCTCCTCCTCACCAGAAACCTGGGGCCTCTCCCCTTAGCCTAACGCAGCTGCCCTGCACGGCTCTGAGAAAGGCAAAGGGGGTGCAAACATGCTCACATGGGACTTTTCCAACATCTCTGAATTTTGGCTTGAGTTTTGTTTCTCTCCATTTCTTTAGAAGACAATAGAAATCTACACAGCAGGTGCCTGCTTGGTCTGGGCTAGCTGGGGAGTCAGCGTCATGGCCTTCATGGCATCCTGAGAGGTAGATGGAGGTCAGAGCACCGGGGCAGTGTCCAGGCAGAGAACGTGGTGGCACCAAGGAGACTCTGGGGGGGAATCCATGGCTGGTGTGAGGAGCAGTCCCAGTCCTTGCAGGCACTGCATCTCGTGGGTGTCCCCTCCTCCTATCTTCACACGGAGAACAACAATTCCCATAGAGGTGCTGAGCACCAGATTAAGACAAAGCACTTTCCATAGGAAAAGGTGGCAGTGTGTGCTGTGTATTTGTCCAGGGGAACAGTCTCCATCCCTGGCTCACCTGACAGTCCAGCACAAGGGGGTGCCGAGGGGTGCCTTGGCCTAGGACACGTTTATGTTGGAGAAGAGCATGGCCCTGGGTGGTGTGGAGGCTTTGTTGTCTGCCAAGTAGCCCAGGATGCTTTTTTGTTCACTGCGGGACAAATTGGCTTTGATGTGCAGGAACGCTTCCAGGTGCCTTTTGCTGTGAAAGAGAAAAAACCAGGCAAGTGTTATCTCCTTCCACACATCTCCACATCAGGATGCAGCCCCCCGTCCTACAGTGGGCACTGAGGTCCCTGGTGGGGGCCAGCTCAGCAGTGGCGATCCTACACAGGACCCAGCACTGTCCTGGGATGTTTGGGGTAGGGAAGGGAATCTCCAAGGCAAAGGAGAAAATCAGGCCAGAATTTGGAATATGTAAATAGGCTTTTATTCATATTTTCCTTTGTTGTCCATTTGGCACCGGGATTGCCACAGCCTGGCAGGCAACTCCCACCCATTTCCATAGGCTCAGGCTATTTGATTGTTTCTTGGCTCAATTAAAATTCCATATGAATATTAGTAAATCTGTTTCATCATCTCTTACCGGATATCTGGGTATGTTGTGGCAAGTGTTGCAACTTCAATTTTAATAGCACCTAAATCCTGAAGTCGGATTATTTCAGCAAGTTTGGGGAGCACTGAATTCAACCACGTGGCTTGAGATCCCTGCCAGAAGAGAAAGTGGTTAGCAGAGCATCTTGGGGGTGCATATCTTTGCCCAGCCTAAGAGCTGGCTCCTGAGGATGTTTCCAGGCAAGGAGGAAGGACAGGTCAGTGATTTGAGGTGTCTCAATTGTTTTCAGTGGTCTTTCTGTCTAGGCCAGCCACAGAAAAACTGGATTAGCTTTTTGATGGTTTTTAATCCTCTTACACAAGAGGTGTGGGGTTTGCCATAAGACTGAGGTTTCCACGTCCACCTGGAGAGATTCCCTCTGCTCTTCCCTCCCACCACGTTTTCTTTTCTTTGTGTTTCTCCACTGCCCAGTGTGTGTACGAGGTCTGACAGGCCACGTAATGCACTGCCATGTGCTGCTTTCTCCCAGGTCCACACACAACCCTGACTTTAGCATCTCCAGACATTGCCAAAATCCACTCCCTGCCCTCTCAGTTAAAAGCCCCAACTGGACCTCTTTCCTGGCCATTGGAATTCCCAAGATGCAACTGCCTGACCTCCCATGCACACTGTGTGAAACTCAAGCTTGCTCCTTCTCCAGTCAAATGCTCGAGGAGTGGTAGAGGACAGAGTTTGGCTTAGCTTTTAGCTTTTTTTTCAGGCAAATTTAGAAGCAGGGAAGGAGGGAAGTGATCTCAGAGGACAAAGAGAGGTGTTTCAGCCATGGCTCCTGTGAAGAACCCCTTGTATACCAGAGACCCTGTGCTGCCTGCTTTAGCCTCTGGCTTAAAAGCAGCAGAGTGAGGGAAAATATGGGAGAAGGGAAAAATCTGTAAGGACTTAAAGTGCACGGTTGCCTGTGTCAAAACACTGTCAAGGCCACAGAAGGAATTTGCCATAAGACAAGCCACCAGAGCAGGAACTTGAGATAAGCACAGAAGGAGACAATTATGACAGGAAGATGCTAATTTGAGGCCTTGAGAGGGGAGATCTGGTTAGCACATCCTGCCTAATGTATCTGGACGAAAACTCCCACTATGGCAAAGTGTGGGAAAGGAAGCAACTGTTCATACATATATCATCCCAAGTTTTGGGAACAGCATCTACGATCACCCTGTGGATACCTGGAACTTGGACTGTATAAAGGTGGTACCTCCAGAAGAATGACTCTGGGACCCTCACCACTGAGAAGACCAGGATGAAGAGGGACCAATGGAACACCGCTGGATTCACGGGTGGTGACTGTCTTCTGCTTGATCTGTCTGTCTCTCTCTCCCTCAACACTTTTCTAATTTTTTCTATTTCTCTACCTCACATTTACTGTTTATTATTGTCTTCAGCATATGGTCTTGTTTGCGCCTTAATTCAGGCAGAGGCATATCTCAGTAATTGGATCATAACACGGTCAAAACCCAGACTTCATGGAAGTTGCACTGAAACCTGAAAAGATTGTGTAAGTCTTCTGGTCCTATTAATATAAGCCTTCAAAAGGAAACTGCCTAAAGGGCAAAGGAGGATGAAATCATGTCTCTCCAACCAGGGAGGGGCAGGGTGGTAGCAGGAGAGCCCTCCTGCCTGTAGACACTTGGAGACCTCTTTCTGCCTAAGGTTCTGCCTTCCAGGAAATTAAACTGAGTTGGAAAGGTTAATGAGAGGCCCCAGAAAATTTATTTCCTTGGTTTTTAGTGTGTCTGTGCCCTGTGCTCTTGTGTCAAGCACTCACATACATTGCTCATGCAGAAGGCTTCCAAGTCAGCAGCATTCTTGGAGATCTGCTGGGCTAGAGTTTGCTGCTGTGCTGGAGTTTTCAGGCTGACTTTCCTCTTCAGCAGCCTCACGATGTACTCTTTAACCAAACGGGTGTGGATCTTCTCAACAATAGCCTGTTGGGAAGGAGAGGAGGGAATCATCCATCTCTCTTTTGCTTCTGGACAAGACAAACCATGAGGCTGGATGGGAGACAAAATTGTCTTGGGTGCTGTAAGACATGCTCCACCAGTCCCTGCCGCTGATTACATGTCAGAACGTTGCTGGTTGCCAGCTTCCCAAGGCTGGTTACGCCACATCCTAGATGCCGAGAATTTCTTTGTACTCTAGTGAACTATGGGAATTTCCAAATGTTGTTTCCTTCTGGGAAGAGTTTAAAGTGAAGAAAAGATCTCCATGGGCTTGAGAAGTAATAGTATTAGAGAGAAACAGGAATTCATGCTGCTCTTCCTGTTCTTCTCTCTAATACACAAAACATCATCAATTTGTTTCAGCTACTAAAAAGACAAAGGCAGGAAATCAAATATTGTTTTATACAATGATGTTTCATATATACTCCAGCACCAGTGAAGATGTGGTTCTGGCTCAGTTATCTGGGATTTGTCCCAGTTGCATCCATATCCTCCAGTCCTTAGGGCAATCAAAGGAGAAATGAGACTGAACCATGCAACTGCATCTGTGTTTCAAGACTGCTAAACCAAATACACAGATAAAGCCATATGTTGGGTGACCTCTAAAGCACTTTCTTTACATCAGGGGTAGTTTCCTGTGCAAACACTGCAGCAGAGCTACAGGATTCTGCTTCTGTCAGAGAAGAGTAAGATTTATATGCCTAATCTAGGTAAACTGCACACTGCCTGAGCAGCTCTCAGATGCCAGGCCAGCTCACCAGCTCAGTGTTGGTCAAGACAACTTGAGTCACAGAATATCAAAGCTGAAAATGCAGCCTCAGCATCCCAGAATCCCTCCAATATTTCTCTTGGACTTACGTGGTAAAAAGGGTCCCTTAACGTCCGGAAGTCTGAAAAATGTTTGCTGGTGGTTTTAATGATCTCATTCATAATTTCGTTGCTGGAGTCCCACTTATTTTCTGTGAACTTCTTATACATTGGCTGAAAAAAAGGGAAATCAGTTAAGTTGCCTCAAAGCAAATCCTATGCAGGCTTATATTTAGCATTGCTATATGTACAGTATCCTATATAGTGAGAGGGCAGCATGCAGTCCTGTGCAAGGGTGTGTGACAATGGCTTACAGGGGTGGGGGAAGAGGGGACTGTGTCCCTTTCTTGGTTCCTCATGATGGAGAAGACCAAGGGCTCAAAAGGTTCATATTTTTTTATTTCCACATTTTTAATGTTTTGTTCACACCATCTTGTCTGATTAGAGAATTATGGAACCATCAGGGGGGAAAAAGTGAATCATTATGAAAGGTTTTCAATTTTTCTCAGCCACAGTAAATAAACATGAAAATTAAAAAAAAAAAAGGCAACTCTGCTCTGTCATGCATTCCAAAAGGTCTACAGAGAAAGCAGCAGAGATTGTGGCTGAACATTCCCAACTCCTTCCCCTCCACCAAAATTGTGTAACTTAAAAAGCTTGTTTTACATACACTAAAAAAAAAAAAAAAAAGGAAGAAGCCTAATTTGCCCTTTAGGTGACGTTTATGAAGAAGCCAAAAGCTGGGTAGTTGCAGTTTATGCCATTTGTAATGGCTTCATACATTTTGGAGAGTAAACAGCTGCAGGCTGAGACTCTCCCTCCTGCAGCCCGTTGTCTCAGATGCGATCAGCACGAGTTATGTCACCTGCACAGTCATGCCTGTGTCACTGCACCCATTTTGCCTTCAGGCTTGAGGAACAGCTCAAGCAGAGGTTAGTGGGAGTTTTCTGGCAGTAGTGTGGCTTAGGACTGACGCGGTGCCCTGGCCCAGAGCCCTCCTGAACTTTGCTGATTTGAATCAGAGATTTGAGCTACAGATAGCAGAGCAGGAGAACATGCCCTGCCCTGGCACCAGCTGAGCCATGGGGCAGGAGGGTGTGGGGCATGGGAACAGTACCTTCAGCTGGGCAAACAGCTGTTGAAGCAGCACGTCAAAGCCACTGTTTTCAATATCGCCAAGAGTGCTGAGGATATCGGCTTTACCGTCGTCCTTTTCTGCCATGTTTTTCTCTGTGTATTCTCTGCAAGGAAACATCAGCAAGGTCAGAATAGTCTGTCCTCAGATGATAGAGAGAGAAATTCAGAGGTCTCCAAATTTTCCTCTGCAGGCAGATGGATCTACCTCTGCTCGCTCTGAAGTACCTCCCCTCTGTCACACTATCATAGGTTGCCTGCAGAGGAAGGAGAAAACTTTTTCTCTTGGACCCTTACCTAAAATTCCAGCAGTTGTTAATATTTGCAATCAGTATAGGCTTGTAGTGTGTGTGCTTCTTACTTTTCTCCTTAAAGTCTTCGAAAGCATCCCTGTAGCTGGAGAGGAGACGGGAAGAGAAGACTTGGGTGAGTGCATGCCCGGGTGGCTCTGCCAGCCCCGCTGCCCGCGGCTGCCCTACCGCACCTCCTCAGGAAGGCAGGCAGCTCCTTCAACAGGCGCTGCGACAGCTCCTCCCCCACAGCACTGCTGATGTCCTGGGCTCGCTTCTGGCCACTGTAGATGCTCTAAAAAACGAACAAAAAAGCAAGATCAATATTAAATGCTGCCTGCTCTGAAAAAGCCAGGTCGGCTGGTCAAAGAGGCTGCAGATCCTTAACTGAGGTAACTGTACCCAGCTCTCCCGCCCCCCCCCCCCGCGACTGAGCAGCTATACAGAGCAGCTATACAGAGCAGCTATACTTATTTAGTGGGTTCAAGCCAGTTTTGAACTTCATTTTCAAATGGGAAGAGGCAAAGAAGAAAGAAGCAAGAAAGAAAGTCTGTAAAATAGCTGAGGAAGTAGCGAAAGTGACACTTGGTTTTGTTCTTTTCTTTTTTTTTCTTTTTTGAATGTCATATGATGGCATTAAAATACAATTTAATCACAACAATCTCATCATATGAAAGGTTTATTTTTTGAAAAATGCGCTTGACTAATTCTCTGCAGGCAGAGGAGGGAAAGCGTTGAGCTTGGAAAAAGGGCAGCTCTGCCTGTGACAGTCTCCCTGAGAGCAAGCAACAGATTCCTTGCTTGGCAAGGAACCTCTTGTCTCTCTGCTACTGGGGATGCAGGAGAGACTGCACGGGGAGAATGAGGGCAGCATTCCTTCTCATTTTGCCTATAGAAGAGTTTGCCTCCAGCATGTGGTGTACCAGGGCCATGCCAGACCATGGGGGTTTGGCTCCCCTGTACCACCCACCTCTGCTACTACCCCACAGAAGTGACTTAGGCTTTTGCTTTCCCATAGTGACCATGGTTGGTCTCAAATCCCAAGTAAGTGAAGGATGAGATTTTCTATTTTTAGTATAGCTCTGTATTACCTGGATAACAAATATTCCTAGGAGTTCACTCTGAAAATGTCCATTTAGCTTCTCTGGTTCTTTGTCTTCTTTCCATCTTTGGATTTCTTTATCTAAACACTTGCTCAGAGAATTTTTGACGGTAACCTTTAAGGAAGGAAGAACAACAGCATTTACCACAAGATGAATGCAGCAGCTCCTGCCTTCTGCAGGTTGTATTTGCCCATCCACCTCTTGCCTGGCTCAGCAGACCTTTTCCTCGGCTCTGGCTGGGAAGGCTCCTTGTTACAAGATGCTTAACCCACCACAACAACAAGGACAACCCCCTCACAGTATCCACCAATGCAACAGTGAGCTGAGTATTGTATGAATGAAGGTAGGAATGAAGATGAAACTCTGTATCCCTGCCCATCACCCCACCACATCCGTGGGGATTAGGAGGGCAGGGAGGGGAGTGGTGAGTAGAAAGGTTGCAGGCAGCTGCATGTGCCAGAGCCCAAGTTCCCCCAACCACACATTGGCCATGTGTCACACGCAGTGCTACTTGGTTTTGCAATCCTTTTGCATGAGCACTTCTGATGCCTTACAAGCGTTGGAGAATGAAACAAAATGCTCTCGGGTTTTCTCTGCTCTGACCCCTCTGAGTGCACGCTGCAGTGAGGCTTTGGAAATGGTCTGTACAGTGTCTGGTACATATTGCTGATCTCCCGGTGCCTCACTCATGAGCTTTGCAGACCTCACACCACCTCCCATATGCAAACCATCAGAGCTACGTCTAAACCTGGAACTTGTCTTCTCATTTTCCGGGAACTCCAGCCCCAAATGCCAAAAACACTGAGCTCTGGGAGTACTGTAGAAGTTGTTTCTTGTTTCTATTAAGTGATACAAAAACCAGAGCCACTTTTATCATCTGCAGACCAAGAAATTCTCCATCAAACTAACAGATTTTTCAAGACCAGATCTCCATGCTTTGCACTCACCCATGTTCTGGGACATCTGCAGAGACCAGGAGTAATTTGGGATCCTTTCGATATTACTATGAGAGGGATTACAAATCCCTCTGGAGATTTAACAGGCAACTGGAAAATTGCCCATGAAGATTAGTTGTTGGATTTCCCCCCTCCCCTTCCTACCAGGCAGTTTTCAAGAACAGAACAGTTCTTTTCAGATGGCTCCCAAGACTAAGCAGAAGTTTGCTCAGCAAGTCCCATCTAGCAGAAAGCTGACCTGTGCCCCAAAACCAAACAAAAGCTTTTACTTCTCCCTGGAAGGGTGTGTGGGGTGTATGGCTCACAGGTGAGAACTGTGTGTTCAGGACAAGTCACAGCTTCTCCAGGAAGTCATAGGGGAGCAGTAAAGGGAAGAGGAGTGACTGGACAGATTCTCACCTCTTCACTGTCAAGGTATTTCTTTTCAAGCTCTTTGCTCAGACTTGATGGCAAAAGGCTTCCAAGCTTAACTTTATCCAACTCCTTGGCTAAAGCATGATCTTTTCTCATATCTCTGGAATGAAAAGAGCCAAACAATCACATTTTCCAAGGGCAGTGTAATTGAAGACAGCTGTTGATGCAAATCACTAGCACTTTTCGAGGATCTCAGTGAAAAAACAGATGGAAATATACATTGTCCTTAGTCCAGGCAAGACTTGGAGGAGATGAATATGTGCCAGGGGTGGGATCTGTGAGGATGGGACCACAGGTAACCCTGGGAAGGGAGTCATGGTCTTCTGAATTCCTGAGCACCAGCCATTGTGTTCTGATGGGCATGGGGGATCTGAAACAAGCAGGAGGGTCTAGCCCTTGGGCACGACTTCTCTCCATCAACATAGAGACGTGAGGAGATGAAAAGCTGGTGTTTTGTGGCTGGTTGGGTGGTACAGTGGGTGGATTCATACCCTGCTGTCATGTTCCCACCGTGTGCTGGCTGAGCCGGATGCTCCTGAGCAGCTGTGAGGAAGCAGACCTGCGAACCTTGGGGAGCTCAGGACAACACTTGTGGGAGCTGATGTGGAAGCAGCCTGTCCTTCTGGAGCTGAGGAGAATAACCCTGAACATCTCCCGAGCCCCGTGTTTGCACATCACCCAGCTCCACAGGGGTGCACTGCCCTGCTTCCCGCACATGGACTGTTTCTGGTACGACACTGGAAGCTGGGGCCAGGTTGTTGTGCAGCCCTCCTCCTTCTCATTGCTCCCTTTGCTGCTGGCCATGGAGAGAGGTGAATTCTGCAGCGAACACCTGGATGTGACCTCTGGGAACACCCCACAAAGCAGCTGCTACTCTGGCCAGCGCTGTCCCCAGTGCTGGGCTGCGCTGCTCTGGCTGAGCCCTCCTCCTCACAGCTACTGATTTCCAAACACATATTGGTTCAGGGCTGAATATCCTGACCTAGAGCATAACTCTGGAAAACTCCCAGGATCAACACTGACTCATTATATTCTATCAGTGAAAAAAATAGAGGTGAAGGTTGAATGACTTTAGAATAGAAAAAACATTACTGGTTTTCACCTAAGAAATGAGAGCCCTCAATTCTCAGTCCAGTACTATAAGCCACAACAAGGAATACTTTCAATTCTATAACATAGAGGGTTCGTGAGGATGAAGGGTGACCCTTGGCTAATGATGTCCTCTCTCAAGGGTGCATGCATGGGTCTCCTAACTGGGAGGAGAGCATAGACTGTGGGTAACACCTAAGCAACATCCTCCATGCCCAGGATAATTGCATCTCAGGTTGTTCTATTTATCGTCTCCCCTGTGGTCCAGAGAGCTGAAGTTTCCAGATTTTCTAAGAATGAGTTCAAATGTGCAACTGGAATAGATATCAAGGCAATCAACCTGACCAATTTACCCCACAAGTGAAGCTCTAAACATCTGTGTTTGTTGTCCAGAAGCCTAAATGGTGGGATCAGCCCTTCAGTTACAGACTAGCAGCCTTGAGTGTGTCCCTTCCAGCTGTCCTGGCCAGCTAGTGTAAATCAGCATGTCACCAGTGATACCAGAACCTAGCCAGGTACTGGACCGCCTCGCAGTCATACTAATCCATAAATCAAGCAAATGCCTGTTTTTCAGCCAGTAAACCTGTGTTGGGATAAAAACTTGTAAAAGTCTCACTTACTTTGGATAAATTTTGTGCACCCATGAGAGAAGAAGGTAAATATCCTTGTCTTCCAGATGAGACTCAGCATTTTTCTTTGCCTGGGAGGCAAAATAATCATGGTAGAATTCTGCATATATGCTGAACACATTAAACTCAGGAGGATAAAGCTCTTTAATGTACTTTACAACCACTGTCAAATCTTCTTTCATTGTCTTTCCCATGTGCAGGAGGTTTTGGCCGACTGCAGAGAGGTTCTCATTTATGGGAGTACGGCTTGTGTCCTTCATTCGAGCCTCTACCGACTCCTTTACTGTAGCCATCCAAAGCTCTTTCCATTTTCTAGGTCTAAATTGCATATTTTGGTCAGGTGGATTCTCTGACATGTAGTTCTGATCTTCTCTCTCCTGCTCTTTCAGAGCCTCCACTGCCTGCTGCAGCAGGTCTGGGTTTGTTTTTGCTAGCAGCATGGAGTCTTTCAAGACACTGAAGACTTTGTGCTTCAGAACTTCATAGACAGACTCGATGTCTTCCTGGCTGGCGTTCAGTCCCTCCTCACTTTTGCTAGACAGGCTCTTCTCCAGGGCAATCAGATGTTGAGTGGCATCACAAAGCTTTTGCTCTCCAAGGAGAACCATGACTTGTTTGACTAGTGAAAAAAGAACAGCCTTTCTTTACCCAAGATTGAAGACTTAAATTTATGTTTTATAAAAAATGACAGTTCTGGAATATTTTTTTAAAATGCTTATATTTCTAAAATGCTAGATCTTGGGCTCCTTCACCATATAGAAAATCTGTTTATTTAAAGATCAGATTATTCCTAGCTTGCTTTTAACTGGGGCAATGGCAATTTGAATACCCATCACCAGTGTATTGCATATGGTGAACTATTCACGAGCCACATATAATTTTTTCCAGAATTTAGCCTTGTGAAGATATTTATTGATTGATTGATTATCCCTTTCCCATTAATATGATCTCGAGTCAGAAGCATGGCTCTAGAAAAAATGCAGATGGAAAGATGTAGCTAAATAAGATGTGCTAGAGGAAATACCACATGGGTTTCCAGAAATAGATTAGCACAACCTGACCTGTGAAATTGTTTTGAAGGACACATTTAGCAGGCAAGATAAATACAATTGAACTATCTTATCTGAACAGCAGCCAATTGCTTGAGACAGTGAAGTCTGGGAAATTATTCGTTAAACTGAAGAAATTATATCCCAAAATAAATTTTGTTAGGTATGTAATGTTTGCATGGAGGACCCTGGCTAGAGAAAGCTTATATTATCCATGAAACTCATATTACTTCATATTCTCATTAGAGGCTGTGGCATTGAAGCTGGGAGTGCCTTACTGGCATCTGCTGATTACACAGAGACATTATCGAAACTGAGGGCTTGGTACATTTTACAGGAAGAATGGGATAACTTGAACAGTAAATGGGCTGAAATTTAATAGCACAAAATACAAGATACAAATTCAATAGAACAAAAGTTACTTAGCAACAAATAAGATTTTCTGCTTCAAGCTGGATGTGAATCAGCTTGAGATGGAGGAGGAAGAGAGATGCCTGGAGAATTTGTAAATCGTTACTGGGAAGTGATGGTGAAAATGTCAGTTATGACCCCAGGATGAATCCAGTGAGGAATGCCCAGGTGAGACAGAAAAATGGTAACATATTGTACCAGGCATTGGTGGTATCTTATCTGAAATATTTTCTGCAGTTCTGGTTGCAGACATCCGGAATGGGGCAATGAACTGATAAGAAAAAAGGCACAAAAGGCCTGTTTTCAGCAGCAAATTCAAGGCCAAGAAGGAAAACCACCAGTTAGGGAAAACATTTGACACATGGAGAAGGAGACACCAGTCAGACAGGTAGAGGCTTGTCTGGAAATAAGATAATTTGTACTAAAACAATAAGACTTCGTAAGAGCCCCACAGCAAAGGAGGCAGTGCTACAAAATGAACCGATTTTAAGGTACAGCTTGCAAAGTTTATGACTAGGGACACTTTCCTCTCTGGTGCTGGGTTTCTCTAAACAAGTATTTCTCTACCTCCCCAAGCATCCTGCAGGACCAGTGCCTGCGACTGGAGAAGCTTTATGTTCACATATCAATCCCAGGAAAGACCTACATGTGGTGCTTACTCCTGTTCCTGGAAGAAGAGGAGATTGGGAGAGCAGAGGGGTTGGAAATAGATGATCTTTAAGGTCTCTTCCAACTCAAACCATTCTGTGGTTCTGTGATTTCACAGGGTGGTGGTTTCATGGAGAAACAGAGCTGAGAGGTATGCCTTGGTTTCTCACCCACCTCAGAACTCTGTGCCCCCATGAGAGGTAGAAATAACTTTTGGACAGAAAACCTGCAAACTGACAGTTCCCAATGGACTGTGCCCTTGGTACTAGAGGTCTATGACTTGAGATCATGTCTCCCTCAGCCCATGTTTCCCCAGGCTTCTTGGAAAAGTCACTTCAATCTATTGGTGCCCTCGCTTCTCTAGGGGGCAATTTTCCACCTTGTGCAGCCCCTCTAGAAGTAACTATGGCCCTTGAAGTGGTACAAGGAGGATGGAAGAGCACTTACCACTGGGTGGCTTGGTCTTTTTAATTTTCTTAAATGCACTTCTAAGGATTCCCGTTATTCCTCTGCCCTTTTCAGGGCTGTCTCCAGCAGAGATGCAGCTCTCATTGCTCGTGATGGAAGAGGCACGTGAAGCTCTGCAGGCTCCCGCTGGCCTTTCACTCATCTTCTCCTGGTTCTTGGACCAGATCTCATCTACAGAAGATTCAGAACAGGCAGGCACTTGCTCAGCTACTGATGCCGAAGGGTTTTCAAACTGCCTGTTTGGACCAATGCAACCCTCTGATCCACTGCGTATTCCAATAGGACCACTTTGGAGAAAGGGTAACATTTTCATCATTTTCCTTCTAGCCTGTAAATTTCAGAAGAAGAATTGATCAGATTATAACAGTTAGCCAGAAAAATACCATGGAAAAACATGGCAAGGCATACATGCAGGCAATGTGGAGAATGCTGCAAGTCTGGAATGAGCACAGCTCTGCAGGGGAGCTCCTGAGCAATGTCACTCCAGGTAACTGAGAGAAAGGAAGCAGCTCTCTGGTCTAATAAAGAACCTAGAGAAAATCAAAGAGTCATTTTAAGGGTGATTCAGATGGTCTGAGACCTTGAGCTTATATGGATACAGGAGAGTAGAGCTTTCCACAGCTATGGACGTGAGCATGGATATTGCATATGAATGTGGATGGGTGGGACAAGTGTCCTGTGCCTCTTCAGAGCAACCACAAAACTCTCATACTGTTATATGGCATTGGGATCAATTCCCACCTTCCTCAGGGCCTTTTTTTGCCGATCTCTGCTAAGTGAAAACAGGAACAAGGCATGAGGATCAGGGTGGTTTAGCCTTGTTTAAACAGACATTATCCTGCTTTGTCCTACTCTACCACCAACACTCCTGTACTACAAGTAAGTGATAACAGGAATTTGTTATTGTTACAACATATTTTCAGAATTCATAATTAGAGTTATTTATGTTCCTGTATAATTTAATGTATTGCTAAATACTTATTTGCACAACTATGACAATTTGTGTAATGATTATAATTATGTAATTATTGCAAATAAATAAAGTGACTCATAGTTTCCAATCCTTATTCTAATAACACTTTAAATAAAGTGACTTTCTAGGAGACCAGAACACTTCTGTATGAAGAACTCTCAGGCAAGAAAGTTTTGCCTTATGTGTACTGAGGAAGGGTAGAAGAATGAGGCTTTAAATAAAATAAGAATTTGGCTTCAGTTATAAGACCACAAAGTGGTGATCTTCAAATACCCTTGTTAAGTTCATACTGTTGATATGTATCACGCTGATCCAAACCATGATACTTATTTCTGGGCAAACTGGTTGGAAGATTGTGGCTTTTCATTTTAATTTTCTTTCCTCCTGTTGGCTCCCAGCAGCTTGTAGAGCTTTGAAACAGCAAGTTAGTGGTAGCAGCTGGATGGTACAGAGAGCAGTTAGAGCTGGCATCACTGAGAGCTTTTCTTTGCCCTGCTTTGGACGCCAGGTCATGTTCAGGATTAGTAATGCTATTGCCTTTAAAATGCAACGAAGATGAAAACTCATTTGGGAAGAAGATAAAGGGTTCTTTTCCCAGCCTGCATTTCCCAATATATAATTGTGTTTAGATTATTTTTGCCAAATCCCTTCCTTCCTGTTTTTCAAGCACAGACTCAACTGAGTTCTTTCTCTGTCTCCAATTGTTTCATACAAAGCATTTATTATTCTTTTTTGTTTGTTTGTTTTCTAACCAAAGAAAGTACCTCTCCCTTTCCAAAAGCCTAAGGTCTTTTGTTTTGATGAATGATGATCAGAAAGGAGGGTTTCAAAACAGCTTTGGTTCTTCTTCAATGCCAAGGTGAATGCAATGTAACTTTGAAAACCATTTAAGTGACACTACACATAAGAGAAATCCATAACAGAACGATTAAGCTGGATAAAAGTTTTTAAAATCTGTCAGAACTTTGTCCTGGTAATAATCTGAAAGAGACAATCTTAAGCATCTAAGTAAGGCTGTCAATGCAATAGCTACCATGCTCACTCACATTTGGCCAGCTTGAATGCTTGCCCAGTGATTATCACTGCTAGTTGGCCTATGTTTGTATCTGCAGTAGGAGATACCAGTAGTAAATCCCAGCTCCCACTTTTACCTTGAAATGCAGCCTCAGCCTTAATGGCAAGAGGTATTAAAAACTCCTCTCTCCATCTCTTCTCTTTATTGTTAGATAGCCATGCACTTACTGTAAGAAACTTCCTATAAGAAACTTCTTCCTATAAGAAACTTCTTCCTATAAGAAACTTCTTCCTATAAGAAACTTCTTCCTATAAGAAACTTCCTTATGGAAGAAAACCTCACACTTTCTGGAAGAAATACTCAGATAAAAGGAAGTGGTGCCTGTTGCATCTGGGGGCCACAGGCAGGAAATGCTGTGCTAGCACTGCACCTTCTGCCTCCATCAGCATCTGCTCCTGGTCTCTGTGGCAGACAGGACACACCAGGAACTTGGCTCTGGCTTAGATGGCCATGGGCTGCTCCTCTATGCCTGTATTCTGCTCTCAAACCAAAGACTGTTAAAACTCCAGCAGGCTCCTAACTCTTTTAGCAGCTAACACCAGGGAAATGCTGAATCACTTCCCAGGCACGGAGCTCCAATTCAAGTCTTGGGAAATTTAATGATTTAAGGTCAAGAGCTGACATTGTTCCCAACTCACTAGTATTATTAATTTACTGTTATCAACATCATTCTCATTATTGTTATGTGGCAGTATGGTTTGTGCCAGGGGAGTCTTTAGCTCCAATTATTTTTGACATAGTATATTCAGCTTACAGTTTCCAAACAGAAGAGTAGCACAGCTCACACAGCATCCTTTGCCACCCTGTACAGAGGTCCTGCAGCATTAGGACAGTGGTACTGTGACTGCTGGTGTAGCTGCAGTGGGATAGAGCAAGCTCTCCCCATGATGCTGATCACAGCATGTACCTCTGAGCTGAGGCTGTTCCGGGGTGGGCAGAACGGAAAATGGAAACTCTTGGAGCACAGCCATGACACAGAAGGGCCCAGGTCAGACTCTTGGCACGGTGGCTTCCCATTTTCTCCTTTTCCTCCTCAAATGAGGCAGCTTTCATGCAGCACACTCAGGAACGAGCTCATTTGTGAGGGGCGGCTCATGGCGTGCTAGAGAGACTCGGGGAAGAGACTGACTAATTACCCCTACTCTGAAATTTTTTGCTGATCTTTTTTTTTGACTTCTTTTTCCTGAGCTGCTGCCAGTATTAACAAACATTTGTTTGGATTTTTGGTCCTCTCAAGCGGACTGACATCCTAAGTCACAAGGGTTTATCTCTCGTTTTAGTGGAAATTCCCCACTCTCCGAGAGCCTCTCAGAAATCCAGACTTATTTAGCAAAGTTTATTCTCTGTATTTGCATCAGCCATTCCTCCCCCACCTGTTCCCTGTGGAAGTGGGGTCATCCCTGCCCACACAAGAAACTTGCATGGGTCAAACAATCTTTTGAAGCAGTAGAGCAGTGCAGACACTGAGTTTAATGAACTTCAGATTGTGGTGACTCCTAAATAAGCAGATAATTAATCAAAGCAAAGAGTATATGTAGACGCCAGCCCCAACCTTTGCAAGTTGGGAAGCCCTCCTAGGAGGTGGGTTTTTTTCCTACAATTCTGGGTAGCTGGATTAAGTATGGAGTAGATACACCACTGGCTTCCACTTGGCTCTGCCTGGGAAATCGCAGTCTATAGACGAGCTGGGCCACCCAGAGCCCCACCTGGACACTTCACTGTGCTACTCCCATCCATGCTCCTGTCTGCAGATCCCTGTGAGACACCCACCAGCCAATGTAGTCCAGCAGCATCCTGATGGTGGCCAAGCTCTGCTCTTAGTGGAGTCGAAAGCTGAGGGGGAACAAAACTTATGTCTCCAATAGAGAAGCTAAGGCAGTAGCAGAGCCTTCCCAGGGGACTCGGTCCATGTACCTCAGCAGTTCCAGGCACCCCCATAGGGCTGGGGGTGATGAGGGACCCAAGGGACTCAGGAGAATGGCAGTGGCAGAGCTGCCAGAGGATCCCATGGCATCTCATCTGGCCTGAGATGCTTTAAATCAGCATTAAACCATGCTATCACCTGTCTGGGGAATAGTGTAGATATAGCTGTGCAGTGCCTCAGTAATTTTTAAATGAGAATTTTGTTTCCCTAAATTACTAAAGCACAACTGAAAATAGTCCTGTAAAACAGCATCTCCTGCTATTAGAGAGAATTTTTCAAACAGAGAAAGAGAAAATTATACATAAATGTTGTTATTGGAAAGAAGCAGAGAGAATGCACTGTAGCATGTTACTTTTTCCTCTTGCTTCAAATCTGGGCAGCATCATTTTAAACTGTTGCTTCTGAAAGAGAAACCAGCTGCTGCTGTCTAGAATTTTGTTTTCATATTACTGTTCCCAAAGCCAAATCCTACTTTCAGGCCTGGAATTTGCAAAGTTCACTGCTCGAGCTAACAGCAACTGAGAAGAAACACACATATTCCCTGAGAGCCTCTCTTGGCACTTCCAAAATCTTTGGCTTTTCAGGAGTCTTTTTATAGAGAACGTGACTGAAGCAAACCCAAACCCGAGTTTTCCAAAGCTCTCCATTCCCATTTGATTGGTTCAATTGGATCTGGCAAGCCTCAAAGTCCTTTGATGGGGACAGGCAGCTGAATGCTTTGGAGAACGAGGGTTTCTTCAGGTTTTCTGCTCTGAACTTGGGTGTGATGGTGAGAGACCATGGCTTCTAGATCAGCCATATGCTCCAACCACAGAAAGTCTCTTCTTTACTTTGCAGCAGCCTCAAAAAGAAATCCTACTTTAAGCACACCAAGGATCCTAACCCTGGGGTTGAACCTTTCAATTTGTGCCCGAGGAGCTGACACAAGTGGATATGGGGCTCCTGCCTAAGGATAGAAGGGAATTTTGACAGGATTTTCAGTGCTCAAGGAAAGGACAGGTCCTAGGGGCAGTAGTACTTCCCTGACTAGGAAGAACTACAGTCACAAAATGGAAAGCATGGCAATGCAGAAATGTGCCAGCTTAGCACACTGACCCTGGTAAGGTGCAGACCACATGGGCTGCCCTGGACCATCCAGGTTCCAGGCACTGAAATGGTGTTTTTCCAGTGCAGCCAGGCTGAGTGACTCATAATCCAGTTACTTTTCTGTGGTTTGGGGGAAAATCAGACAAACAGGAGAGGCTGGGAAATGCCACACTGGATTCGGATCCCGGTGCCTGACCTGGGTTTAGGATGCCTTGGTGTCCAAGACCTACATCTGGATTTTGGGGAAAGAGTTGGAGGGTGGGGTGGGGGGGTTACAGTAGTCACCGCTTGCAGCCTGTACCCTGAAATTTTGGGAAGAAGCAACAGAAATCAGACCCAGCTGTCAAAATGGAATTGCCAGACACATATCCTTGCAGTGTCTAGCTCTGGGGTGTGCCTGGAGCTGCTGTATTTCTCGCAGCAGTCTGACTTATTCTCCATTCTGATAATTACCCGGTGAGACTCAAACCTGTTGCTGTGTCCGGAAACCCAACCTTTAGCACCTACCACTTTCTTCCCCCTCTCAGGAACAGCAGAGAGCTCCCGAGCTCCCCAGACTCGCAGCAGGCGAGCCGGGAGTCGGGCGGCAGCTCGGGAGAAGCGGGAGAGACGGGGAAAGGGAAAGACCCGAGCTCCGGGCAGTTGGCACGAAGGACTTACTCTGCGGCGGCTCTCGGGCGGCGGCGGGGCTGGATGCGGGGCTGGATGCGGGGCTGGATGCGGGGCTGGATGCGGGGCTGGATGCGGGGCTGTCACCAGTACTGTCAGCGGAGCTGCCGGAGGAGCCGGGGCAGCCCGGCTATAAGGGCTCGGGGCGGGACCGAGCGGGAAATCCCGGCTACGCCCCCCTCCCGGCCCGTGGGTCGAGCCAAAGAGAACCGAGAAATCCCCTCCGGCGGGGAAGGTGACACGGACGGGGGGTGGCTGGCCCCGGGGTCGGTCCCTGCAGAGGAACTGAACCCCAGCGCCCTGTCCTGACAGACCGGTGGATGGGGCACGGGCACCCTGGGCTCACTGCCCCGAGGGCTTTGTCTGTGCGATGTGTCCCATTGTAGGCTTGGAAACTCTCCATTCGGGATGGAGCAGGTGCCGCCGAAAATGCCATATTCTGTACCTGGGGTGGTCAACCCCGGATGTACAGACTGGGGAATGAGGAAAGGGACCTGGGAGTCCTGGTCGATGGCAAGTCGAATATGAGTCAGCAGTGCTCTGGCAGCCAGTTACTTGGCCAGGAGGGCCAACCATGTCCTGGGGCATCAAGCAAAGCATCGCCAGCTGGGTGAGGGAGGGGATTGTCCCACTCTGCTCTGCACTGATGCGACCCCACCTTGAATATTGTGTGCAGTTCTGGGTGACACAATATAAGAAAGACCTTAACCTGTTAGAGAGCATCCAAAGGAGGGCAACAAAGATGGTGAAGGGCATTGAGGGGAAGTTGTATGAAGAGCAGCTGAGGTCATTTGGCTTGTTCAGCCTGGAGGAGACTGAGGGGAGACCTCATCATGATCTGCAGTCTCCTCACAAGGAGAAGTGGAGGGGTAGGCACAGATCTCTTCTCTCTGGTGACCAGTGATAGAACCTGAGGGAGTGACATGAAGGTGTGTCAGGGGAGGTTTAGATTGGATATAAGGAAAAGGTTCTTCACTCAGGTTGGGCACTGGAACAGGCTTCCTTGGGAAGTGGTCGTGGCATCAAGCCTGCCAAAGTTCAAGAAGCATTTGGACAATGCTCTCAGACACGTGGTGTGACTTTTGAGGTTGTCCAGTGCAGAACCAGGTACTGGACTTGATGACCCCTGTAGATCCCTTCCAACTCAGGATATTCTTTGATTCTATGAAAGCTTTGGTCCCTGAGCAGGGCATTGCCACCAGGAGGCTGGTAGGGGTGAGGTGTGTGCCTGAAAGCACAGCTGCCTGTATCCGCATCCTGCATCATGCCCACAGTGAAGCACCTTCCCCAGAGCAGGGCTCACAGCACTCCCAGAAGACAGTATTAGCATTCAGAACCTTCAGTGCTGTGTACTGAAGGTACTGGGAGTCAATGGCTTCCTTCCTCACCCCAAAGTCTCCCAGACTCTGTCTTCCACTTGTGGGTGCATGACCTTACTGAGCCTTTCAGTACTCGAAGGAGACAAACATTTTAGAGGGCCTGTTGTGATAGGATAAGGGGTAATGGTTTTTTAACTGAAGAAGGGTCAATTTAGATCATAGATAAGGTAGGCATGTTTTATGATGAGGGTGGTAAAACACTGGTTGCCCCGAGAGGTGAGTTGCTCCATCCCTGGATACATACAAGGTCAGGTTGAACAGGACTCCGAGCAACATGATCTAGTTGAAGATGTTCCTGCTCAGTGCAGGGGGATTTAGACTAGATTACCTTTAAAGTGTCTTTCAACACAAACTGTTCTATGATTCTGTGGTTTGTTTTCCTGATTTCTCTTCTTGATGTCTAGGGACCCCCATCCCTGGCCATGGAGTTGTGATGAGCCTGTTATGCTGTGGAAGTTGTGTGCTGCCACAGCAGGGATGGTTGGAGGGCAACCAGGGGATGTCTGGGTGACAGCAATGGTTGTGGGGGGCCATTGCAGAGGGTCTGTGGAGGCTGTGAGGGCTGTGCTGTCCGTTACTTAGCCTCAATGTGAGGCATCTTCAGCACACATCTGGATGAGATCTGGGCTGAAGCAGTTGCCGTGCAGGCACAAAATCAAAATATTGTGGTCCTGCAGAGCCTACCTCCTCCCTCCTTTTCTGAGAAGCTGCAGTGGGGCAGGGAGTGGGACAAATAGCAAGTCCAAGAGCCTGGTTACTGTGCCTGGAATGACTTCTGTTTTACATCTGACACCTGTGGTCTAATGCAAAATGTAAAAAAATGGTCCTGAGATTTAAAGCTGATTGTGAACCCTGAGCTTTCCTGATGCTGCTGATGCCCACACTCAGCACCTGTGTAGCTGCACAACTTTTGGAGGGGCTATAAATCTGTGCAGGTCTGGCATGGGGACATCCTCCAGCAGCAGACATGGTCTGAGACCAATGTTTGTGCTGGAAGGAGGTGCCCAGTTGAGCTGGCACAGTGCTGGAGAGCAGATGCTTCCTGCCCACTGGGCCTGTGTCCTGCCCACTGGGGCTGCTGCTTTCCTCTCAGGGACTCTTTTCCCTAAAAGTCCATAGTAGCAGGGAAAAACCTCACACTCAACAATGTCTGCCAAAACAGGAAGCAGAAGCAGAGGGGCCGCCCTGATGGGCAAACCCATGATCTCCGGTCTCTGGAAAACCCTGATTCATCTCAGGCCAGCCTTCGGCTGAGCTGGGCAGAGGGTTCCCCTCTGGGATTACTCCAGGGTTGGGTCCCCTTACTACTTGACAATGAGTGACCTATAACTAGCAGTGTCACAGGACAGAAATGCTGGGTTGCCACGCCAGTCTGAAAATCATCGGAAACATGAAACAGCACAAGATTTAGTCCTGGAGTGCAGTAACTTGCTCTGTGCTTCATCACTTCCTCCAATGCCAATGTGAAGGGGAGAGAGGGAGGCAAGGTTTGACATCTGCATTTAGAGCCAGTTTGGGAGCAGCACAGTGCAGCTGGAGGTGAGCTTGGTGCTACATCCTTTTCGTGCAGGAGGCTAAGGGATGTGGTCCCTGGGAGGCACCAGGGAGGCTGGTGTGGTCCAAGGATTACACACACACGTAACTCTGGGCATGGCTGGAAAGGCAGTGTTTGTGACTGTCTGAAAGCAGAGGATGCTGTTCTGGATGCAGGGAGGACCTGGGGCTGGTTCTCTGCTCACATCCTCAGTTATGTAATCCCTGCGGGATGCAGGGTTGTCTGTCCCAGGTGTGCTGTGAATCTGCATTGGAAAGTGGCTCAATGACAAGTGTCTCAGACACACTGAAACCTCTCTTCAAACATTCAGGGGGTCTTTGCATTTGTCTCTGACCAATGTCTCATCCCCAGTTTAGCACTGGAGGCCCTGACTGTAGGAGACTCCTGCAGCAAGTAGTATGGGAAAGTCCAGTCATCTCTGAGTCCAACTCACTCCAGTGGAGTGGGAACTCACACTTCCTGATGCTCAGCTGGTGTTGGCAAATGTGGCTGCAAATCTGTGGGCATCCTGGGTTGTTTTCTTGGATACATGTTTGTATGGAATGATTTATGTAAGATCCAAATTAGATTCATGTAGTGGGCTCTGTTGCTGGGCCTCATCTTTATCTGCTGTAAGTAAACTTCATTGGAGTCAGGGCAATTCTGCCAGCAGACAGGGGAACAAAGAGCATCTTGTAACTGGGTCTTAAAAACCTAGAGCTTAGGTGCCATCGTCTGGGTGCCCCAATTTGTGCAAACCAAACCTATCACTGCACTTGGACCTTCTGCTGATACACCAGCACGACACTGCTTGCCTATGTAGCCTGATTTCTGAGACAGGCATCTTGTATTTACTTAAATAATGTTGAGTAGTGAGTAACCAAGTTATACTGGGCTGCACATCTTCTAGTGGTGCACAGGAATTTTTCTGTGCTCTGTAGCTACCCAATGTATTGCATAGGGCTACACTGATACTCTGTGTTTACAGTTTGTGCCATATAAGAAGCTATCTAAAGTCTGCAAATTTGAGGAATCGAGACTTTTACGCTTGACTTCCCCAATATATGTGATATATTTCTCAGCTGCAACTTACACTTATAAGCAATATGTACTTCAGAGATTTGTAACTTAGGTTTGCAGATGCTTCCTTAAATTGGAACATCGAACTTGCATGGGATCATTCCTGTCTTCTATATTCAGCATCAAAGTCAATCTCAATAGCAATCCTAATATCCAAATTTAGCTGAGCAGGAGCCTACAGATGGGATATGTCTCTACTGAAAAAACAGTTGTGAATCCTTTGCACTAGACAACGAAAGATTTACTGACCTGTAAAAATGAAGATGCGATAAACAAGAAGTGTTGATACGGAGATTATTTTTGAAGTGCTGTCCTAATTTCCTCTTTCATGATGCTGAAAAGCTGTTATCCTCATTGTCAGCTAAAGGTGTGTCAAGAAGCAGATTGTTATGAGGGTAAAGGTTTTCTTCCTGGAATCTATTAATTCAATATGCTTGTTCATTGAATGGTATTTGAGATTTTTGTTCAAACTTGTTTTCATTACCTTTATTACCAGACAAGGAAACTATCAGTTTTCCTGTGGGATTTACCATGAGCTCAACTCATTTATCCTAAGTAATTCCAGCTGTGCATGTTTCAAGGTAGAAAAGCAGCAGTTTGGGCTACAGGTGGCTGGCAGCAGCCCTCTGGGTAAGTAGGCGTTACCCTGCTACCTTCTGCTGGGAATATGACTTCTGGCTCTATTTTCTTCCTTTCCAAGTAGTGAATACACATATTTTTCCCAGGTCTGTTTGAGGGAGGTTGGTGTCGGAGGTCTGACCTGCTGCAAAGCTGTGATTTGGTAGTTTCAAAAGTGTGAACTCCTTCAGAGAACTTTGCTGCTAGTGGTACCAACCTCATGTGATGATACTTTTGCCCTCTCTAGTCACATCTGAACCAAGCTAACTACAGAGAGCTTTCCTGATTTTGGTTGCTTTTGGCATCGGAGATCCTACATGTCTGAATAATAAGCCAGGAGATCAAACCTGAGAGAAATGTCCTAAATGTTCATCAAAGGAAGGGCTTGTATGCAAGCATGGTCTGCATCCC